ATAAATAATGTTTTGTTTTGAGGTTCACTTTTTCACGAAAAATATGAAAATAGGGTTAAGAAACATAGCTTATTCTGGGTCACACAATAAGAAANCTACATATGTTATTGTACTTCGTATTGGTTTAATATTCATGTAGAGTATGAGACATTAAGTGAAAGTTTTCTGAGGTACATCTGCAATTGTCGGAAGGCAAAAATAAATAAATAAATAAGAAATGTCTCAATAAAAAACACATCGGCGACGGCTGCCCTACTACTTAAGAAACGAGTGTTTACGGGGGAGTGTGTCGAATAAGAAACAAACCCCACAGCTCTCTCGCTCTTTCCCCCTCTCCCCCGACCCCCCCCTCCCGTAGTGCATCATTATTAGTTGTACGACGAGGGGGGAGTGTTTTTTTTGCGACGCCCCCTCCGGCGCCCTGCGGGCTCTGCCCCGCTCTCTGCTGGCGCTAAAGCTTNCTGAGGTACATCTGCAATTGTCGGAAGGCAAAAATAAATAAATAAATAAGAAATGTCTCAATAAAAAACACATCGGCGACGGCTGCCCTACTACTTAAGAAACGAGTGTTTACGGGGGAGTGTGTCGAATAAGAAACAAACCCCACAGCTCTCTCGCTCTTTCCCCCTCTCCCCCGACCCCCCCCTCCCGTAGTGCATCATTATTAGTTGTACGACGAGGGGGGAGTGTTTTTTTTGCGACGCCCCCTCCGGCGCCCTGCGGGCTCTGCCCCGCTCTCTGCTGGCGCTAAAGCTTGCACAGCACACCAGACAGGCTGCGAACCACGACATGCTGTCTGCTGTACACGGCTTTGATGGTTCTCTCCGCCAGCTCTCGTGAGGGCTTGACCAAGCTGGTCACCCTTTGAGATCAACAAGAACTGTCGACGAGCCAGCTCGGGGACATCAAGAAGCACCTTGTAAACAACGAGACTCTGTCTCACGATTTCTGGAAAGGCATTCAAGAGCTGCGGAGTTTGAGGTCCTCCGATATCCTTACTTTGGAGGAGCATGTGCAGCATCTCAACGAACATGTGGCGTCCCACCTCAAGGAAAAGACCCCGGTACGAACCCCTCCTGAATCTGCTGCTGGTTCAAGCGCACAGCAGTTCGTAGGGCAGAAGCGAAAGGCATCATCGTCTTCAACAGCGCGATCGACGGTGAGTGATATTGTTTTCCGCGTTCATTCGGAGCACAGAAGAATTACCCTTGCGGAAGAAAGCTCCTCTTGTTGACAGATGAATGACTGTTGGAATATTGTCCCCGCTTCGGGAATCGCCACAACAACAGACGATGCCTCCGCTGTGCCTTGTCAGGAGACGATGACAACGATTAGGACCCGCTGACCCAGCTCGACGACGATGACGAGTTGTCGCCTGAGGGAGAAACGCTAAAGATGGACATCCCGGACAGGTTTCGACTCCAGGCGTCTCCACCACCGGCCCTCAATCAGTCAATAGTGAAGCGTGGGAGCCTCGTGCAACTCGGGTTGGGTTGGTTCGGAGGGGTAATTAGTCGCAGATCTCACCCCGGTTCGCGGCAGGAGAACGACTACCGCGTCATCCTGCACTGTACCGAAAGCACGCGTAGCATGAAGATGCCGTTGGAGTCGTACAGCACGGATGAAGACGCCGCAATTGGGGCGTGGGTTCTCCTAGAGGTAGACCCAAAGGAAAGGAGCGGGAGGCGCAGAAGGGTGACAACCCCCAATGTTCGCCTCACGGGGCTTGCAACACAATGACGGGGTAGTTTTCGTTGTTGGCACGTCAGCGTGCGGGTGAGGCATCATGCGGTGTTTTTGCATTTGTTTAGTTTCAGCCCTCACTCATGAGGGGGGTACAGGACCTTGTAGCGATAGCGAGACGTTGCCGCTGGATACATTTCGCTTTTAGGGAGTGGCCTTACACGCAGCCGTCGGTAGTGAGAATCGGGGTTGAGTACGGGGGCCGAGGAACGCAGTGCAAATCATTTGTATATTTGGAATGTTGTGTAGTATGCAAGCAGCGAAATAAGAAATTGCCGATTGAAGAAATTCAGCAAGGATTTGGCTGCACGAAAAAAAAAAAAAACTTGAAATAAGAAACTGAACGACATACGCTGAGTTTATAGTCCACAATAAGAATTCGAGGCCCATAAACTGCAGGCGCCAACTGTACTCCTTTGCCCTTCTGCGGTCGACATCGGTGTCCTTCGGTGTCTGTGGTCAGGAGGAGGCTGTGGTGAACGTTTCGCGAAGTAACACGGAGAATCGGCATGTTGTCCCATACTCGGGTCACACGGGCAAGGCGAGCACTCGAAAGAAGGCGCCACTCTCCATCGGGTATCGTCGAAATTGAATCTCGTCTGGGAGAATCCGCCGTGCGATTAGAAACGGATCCATCAGATCTGAGAAACGCCGCCGGTCCAGGCCCAACACTATGTGCAGTGTCTGTTCATCAGGGCTCCGGATATGTCTGCGGTGTTTCGGTTTGAGGCCTACAAGAGCTATGGCCACAACCGTCTACTGAACCGTAGGTGATCAATACGGCCCTTCGCCGAACTTTGCCCCACGATAGATTCCTGTTCCTGGCCTTCAAGAATTCAGCCGTGGCAGGTTATAGATCAGAATGGACGATCGCTTCTCCAACCAAACGGGAAGCGCGGGGGTTGGTGTTGCTGAGATACTGCATAGTCTAATCAAGCCTGCTACAACAGGTAACCAAAACTCTGTCCCGATGGAACTCTCTGAAACTATCTTTCACGAGGCCGGTTGCACTGCTTTCCGGCGTAAACGCAACCATAGGCCGTGGCGGCAGTCTCGTTGCAAAAACTATTTCCAACTCCAACATTGTTCAATTTTGACTAACGTATTGTAGCATGCTATTCTTCCAGAAACGGCGCTTTCTACAGTATTCTGTAGCGAAATTTCACATCCATCTGTTCTGCAAGAGAACGGGGTACATACTACACATGGACACCCTCAGGAAAGCATGAGGTGGCGTCTGATCTGATCTTCGCCACATCACATTACAAATCCGATACTTCGTCTAGATGTACCCTCTCTTTCTCCACGTCCTCGACGAGGTCCTTGAGACTCTGCCCGCAATGAGCCATCAGAAACTCCCTCCACCTGTTTCGCGTTCCAAGCGACACGGGGGGGGGTAGAGGTGATGGTCTAAGTGTCTAAACTACATATCATGGTTGTAGCACGTGGACCATGGACCCTCGCCGGGAGGGGTAGGGGCGAAAGCGTGCCCAGGAAACACTTTCCACATGGGACCCAAGCACAGGCGACTGGCGACGCGATGCGGTGGGTATTTATTGTGTTCACGCGGGCAAGATGAGGGCCCCGCACGTGAAATACACGTGTTGAACCAGTTACAGTAGAAGCACGTTCCTATGATACAACGGGTTGCAAAAAAATGGTCATTATTGGGCAAATCCCTCCCCTGCGCCAAAACAACAATCCGATGCCCGAAGGAGAGGCCGCCTCGGTGGGCGGGTGGAGAGATCGGTGGGTTCGTGGGTTTGTTTCTGGGGTCGTTCAAGGTTGACTGATTATTGGGAAACTTTTCGAAAATCCTGACGGCGCTGTTATCTTCAGGGACGAGAGCGCAACAGGGAGAGAGGTGCCAGCAAGCAAGCGGCAACCCGACAACACGCTTTCGGATGCAAGCTCATATTCATGAAATTATTTCACTCACTCAAGTGCAACTGGTGCACGTGTATTCTTTCACCTTTTGACGGCGTCCTTGAGCAACTCCTCTCTATCCACTTCATCTCCCGTGGTCTCGTCCAGCTCTGTCTCAATTTCTACCACGAGCTCGGCGCACTTAAGCACCTCTTCACCCACCAGAGTCAAGTCTGACAGAGCCCTGCCAAACCCGTTTAGCGAGAGAACGAGTATGGGAAAGGGGAAAGAGGCATCCCGTGGTACCCCAGATTCATTCGTGGGGGGAGGGGGGGTGGGGGTGTACGCATAGTCTTCATGCCGCTATCGTTAGACCATTGACCTCACCGGACCAGGCTCTCACATCATAAAGCGCGAAGCGCCGTGAGATGTTCGGCGAGTCGCATGGAGGGAGCGCCGCATCCCGCGATGGGCGTTCGGCATCTTGTGCTTACTTCCTTGCGTACGGATGACAGCTGCGTGTGACTAAATTTAGTTTCTGGTGCTTTCACTTCCAGAGTTAGTTGTAAGCACTGTGTAACTGCCTCGAGGGTGCTTGATCATTTTAACACAACGTGGTGCGATCATCCCCCTTGCGCGGAGTGAGGGTTCTCCACCCCGCACAACATGATCGACTCGACCACCATTATGGTTACCGCCAAAAAAAAAACAGAGGTAAGAAAAAAAAACGGTAACCCGGTTGCCGAGTTCACGAAGTGAATTGGCTTGTTTTACAACGTCGTTGCCAAGCGGCGAAAACCTAACCCCGATGGCAAACACCGGGGGGGGGTTTGTTCTACAACGTCGTTGCCAAGCGACGACAACCCAACCCCGATGGCAAATACCGGGGGGGGGGGACAGTTTTATTCGTGTGGGGCGGACATTATCAGTACTCTAGGATATGAGAGGAAAGTACCCTAGGATATGGCAGGAAAGTATTGATAGTGCGCACATCACGTTTTCGGCGCAAGAACGAGCTTGGATCAAGTGTTAGGCTACTAGGGGCGAGATCAGGTCTCACCTTAGAGGGTGGGAGTGAGTTCAACCAACGTTAGGGGCGCTCTTCAGGCGGGCATTGTTTTTCCAAGTGCCCGTTTCTGGCGTGATCGAACCGACCACATATAATTCGCTTTTGGTGTTCGTTGTAGTAGTTATTGTTATTGTTGGTGTTGTGGATGTTAGTTTGTAGTGTACATCGTCGTCCTCGTGGTCGGAATGACCGTATACATACGGCTTCCTGCACATCCAACCGGGTCCCTCCAAAAAACCCAATGTACTCGAACTGCCACTTTTTGATACACCGCAGGTTGAATCATCGGATCGGTGCATACACGTGGATTACGACGCCAAACTTACGTGTCTAGGGCATCGACTACTCCGGGCGATGCCCGTCCTTCGATCTGGTCGGACCCTTCCGTCGCTGCAGCGGCGGCGGCATCAGCAGAAGCAACCGCTTTCGCAGCATCAGTCAGTTTGATGTCCGCGATGACCTTGCGCCAGTGATCGACCTGGCAATATTCAGACCCATCGAGCCGGCCGAGAAGAATGAAATGACGCGAGAGGGCACGCAATTTGTGCATGCATATGTCGGTGCTGGGTGAGGATGAGTGGTTTGGCGACAATACGGTGAACATCATTGCTTGCCAAGCTTTGCTTGCGCATCGCGGAGGACATTGTGGAGTCAGTCAGCCCCTCTTTCGGGCTACAAGCAGGAAGTTCCACCGATCGCCGTACATGCTCTAGACGTAGAGGATTTGGGTGCCCATCTAACAAGCGAAGTCAAGCGGTAGTCCGTTGGCTTACGCATCTGCAACAACGCACACGCATACCGCACACGACCGCACCTGCCCGAGTATTCTCTGGAGGTGGTCCTCGTCGAGCCTCTCAACCACAACGCCCGATTGCTTCCCTTCCTCTGCCGCGCCTGCAACCCTTCCTCCTTTTTCTCCTTCAGGTTCACCGTCGGCGGCGGGGCTCTTCTTTTCAACACCGGCAACATCTTCACCGTCGCCGGAAGCCTTTTCGAGCGATATTCGCAGCACAGCCTCTTCACTGACGAAGCGGTCAACCTCGGCCGTGCTCTTCTCCAGGGCATGCTCCGCGTCGGCGTCACTGTTCAGCATGTTGAAAATGATCAGTTGTTTGGTCGACGTAACTGCACAAATAGTTTGGTGATGAGATCGACTTACGTGTTGACGTTGTTTGGATTGACGTGATCGCAACCATAGGTTTGTTGGTTTGCAGAGGTTTGAGGAGCAAAGAACGTAAGGATACCGTAGCAATACTCACACGTACGCGCGAATAACAGCCCTGGCTCTGCCACTGATTGACAGCAATGGAGCCGAGAGTACTCACTCTGACAAACGAAGGATCGCGTCGGCCTTGATGTCCGTCAACACGTCGAGCTCATTCAACTGTTGCAAGGTCGTGGGATGTTCCACGCTCACCGTCACCCCCGCCAAGGCTGAAATCTACAAAACATTGCAGACGATTGGGTCGTGTCGTGTTCACTCATTCCGTCAATGATGTTCGTTTCGGCAGGAGTTGGGGGATGACACGGAACGTGGACATGGCGATTCTACCATGCAGCGTTCAGGGTGGACTGCTGGTGGTTTCACGTGCACGAAACAAAACGCTTGCCTTCGATTGCGCACCTATGACTTTCTTCGCTCGGTACAGTGTTACACTTGTGTGTTGCTGCCCACTGAATCAGCGCGTGAGGTAGGTGACAAGATCAAACCAAACCGCTGTTGAACAGAAAAAAATCATGCCCAACGTTTCTGCGATTGTTACCGAGGTGCGCAGCGGAACGGCGAAAGCCTTCACGACCGAGACACGTCCACCTAGACCCTCTGGAGCCTCAGAGAGCCTTCAACCCTCCTGCACTGCCCTGGAGCAACGTACATGCCTACCTGCCACCAATGGCGGTCCTTGAGGCGCGGGTTGGTGAGAGCCTTTATGATCGGAATGTCTTTCTCCAGGGCAGCCAGGAGGCGCAGCGACTCTTGCGCGGCTTTGGTCGGGGTCGCCTGGGACCTCGCCTCCATGATCTTTATCAGGGCTTCCAATCTAAAAGAAGGGTCGGAGCAGTTCGAGAGAAGAAACAGTACGCACTTGACCGGGCTTGTGTTCGCAAGAAATGAGAACTTCGACCACCTGCGACAAATGTAGGCTTGTACGGGGAAAGGCACATGCTTGTTGTGTGGGGACTCGACTCTATGCGAGATTGGAATAGGATATCCCGAAGCGATAGCACAAGCGCGTGCGTACACGAGCGTGCGCAATAAGCAAACCTCCGGTTACCGGCCTGCACAGTCCGGTGCATGTCGTTCAACGGTTTGCAACACTCTATGTCGTTGCACCATTTTTCCGCCCGAGACGTGCGTGAGGCAGAGACAGTTCACGCTGGCTGCGCTGTCCTGTAGTACAAGTACTGTCCCTTTACCCCCATTGTCTCGCGGAGCTCTGTACTGCGCTCTTCTCGGGCATTGACCTCTCGGCCCCCCACACACCCCTGTTTCGTGTTCCACGCCTCGCGTACGCCCAGCACATCCTGTTTCAACCTCGACCCAACCTGCCTTCCTTCGATATCGAGCGGGCATCCTCCTGCAAACATGTAGCCGCATCTACACCAGCAATAGGTATGACACGATCGTTCAGCTTGCGGCATCACCACCACCACCACCACCACCACCACCACCACCAATAGCAGCATAACAACCAAAATGACTGAAACGCTGAAGTGTGTTGCACATGGCGTTGCCAAGTCCCATACCTCTGCTTGATTGAGGCGTGCTCCGCCGTTATCTCTTCTGGGTTCAGCGTCGTCACTGGAGCCCGCATGACGGTTGTGATGAACGGACCGACCGACCCGACCAAACTCCAGATGTCGGCATAAGGCTGAAATGAAACGATCACCTTCTCCGCCTGGGGTGCGTCGAAGCGGAGGAGAGAGGCGGCGTGGCGTTAGGAGAAGCGAAGAGTAACGAGGCTCATGTGGGCATTTTGGGCGCCCAAGCCAAGATCGGAGTCGTCCCTGTGGAAGGTCCCATGTCTTTGACGGTATACACACGTAGCAACAAACACTATATTTGCGTCGGAGATCGTGTGCAACGTAGGTTGAGGAATTCGTTCGTGAAGGAGAAGATCTTCCGTGCAACAACTCAGCGAACTTGGACGAGTCAACCTGCCGAAGTTAGTGTAAAACGAGGGCACACTTAACGGACGCTGGCCAAAGCTCGTTGCATATATGATACCCTCTGATAACCCCCAGCAAATGAGGTGGATACAGCCCCATCAGCTAGCTCCAGATCCCTGGCACCGTGTCCTGCACTACGCGTTGCATGTGTGTTGTTTGTGTTGGTACGTACGTCGTGCACCTGGTTGAGTTGGTTTGCCGGAAGTGTTGTGGCTTGAGTTGGGATTAAGCTATGCAGAATGAGTACAAAGGATCAATTCGAAATTCATCGAGTGCGTACCTAGGCAGCGGGGCATGAGCACAAGTCGGGGCGCCCACCCCAGCGGGAAATTCGATTGCCATTATTCATTCTCACCAAAGCGACGAGAGCCCCGCTCGTGTGACCGTCCACCTTGGCTTCCTCCTCTCCGATGTCCACGGCTTGAGCCTTGAGTCCGGCAAGCTCCTGTTGTTTCAACCAATCGTGGTTAGCCTTGAGTGGGCTTTGGTCGCGGGGTCCATTAGTTCAACAATGTTTTCCTTTTAGGGATGGACGATTATTTCATCCCCGAGAAGTCAACCGACGTCGAAAACATGTGCTGTAGCATCCACAGTATCCAAGGATATCAAGTGTAACACTCTTCACCCACCAGCCCTGTAGCATGAGGTGAGAAAATGCAGCGTCAGCCACCCCAAGCAAAACAAGGAGAAAAAGCATCCGGGAGGACAGACAAGTACTTCGAGAGTTTGCTACTTGTCAACACAACGTGCTGGATACGTGTAAAAAATGTTATTGGAATGTAGATTGAAGGTATCATAGCCGAGAGCAAAACAAGGCCCACATGACCGCGATGGTTAAAGACTTCCCAACTCGTGAGTTTGCGCGGGTTCAAGCACCCCAGTTTTCCTATAGTTACGGCATGAAGAACTTGACGAAATACTGGGAGGCACAAGATGCGCTTCTCGCAAAAGCTGTTTCATCGTGTAAAAGCGTAACGGGACGCGAACGACCCAATCCATGGCGAAAGCAATACAATGCTTTGAGGGGAGGGTAGTTCACTAGGAGCTACTGTGGTGTAGATCTTCGAGTTTTTTCGATTTTCGTCGGACGAGCGGTCACGCCTCTCACATCACCCAAGCTTCTTGGAAGTGAGATATCATCATCATGGTTCGTTGTTGGAATATGCTGTTTTTCTCGTTACCGTGATTGTAAGTGCGGCACAGCCCCTAGGGCAAGCCCGACGTCATCAGCACCGATGCTTCGAGAAGAGTGTTCCATGAGAGAAACACTACATGTGCACAGCGCAATGCAGATTGGATGAGGGTGGACTTCATGTCGATCTGGAATGTACGAGATCCTGAGAGCATCGCGGCCCTTGTCTTCGAACGCTCTCTAGTCTATACCTCAACGACCAAAGAGGAAGACGAAATATCAATGATCAAGGAGAAATAGTGCCTTTAGCAGCGATCGCAATACGCAACGGCCACGGCGCAACAAACAATATTCATGAAAGAGGACGAGAAGGAAACTACCTTCGATATTGACGCAGCGGTTTCGGACATCTCGCGCGGACGGGCGTCGCTGTCGATGAACTCGGCGATCCTCATCTTCGTCGAATCCACGTTCCCCTCCACCCTCCGCTTCGCCTGAGCATCAAGAGACAACAGCAGGCAAGTCGGGACAAATAACGCCATGTCAAATTAAGTCTGGCCCAAAAAAATTATTGAAGAATGCCATGGGGAGAGCGGGGACGGGTTTGTTTCATCAAGCAGGTTTTCATTCGATCAACTGGACACGGCCCCCTTGTTCTCTCTCTCTGCCGATGGCGACGGGTATCCTGCGACGTGGAACATCTGGAACCACGATTGAACTCTGCCACGTTTCCCAACCCCAAATTACAGTGAACGCTTCTTCCGTGTCGTATTTGCGGGGTACCCGAGGATGGAGCCAAGGAATACGGCGGCAGCATCGTTACCTTTTCTACGTTCTTCTGCAGCTGCGCTTTCCCCTCTGCGATGGCTTTCTCTGCCTTGTCCGTGGCTGTGGACAGTTCGCCCATGACTCGGTGAACCCCGGTAACCGCGATGATCACCTTGGAAGTCACGCATTGAGTCAAGTCAAGATTGGTTGCTTCATCGTGCATAGATCTGAATAACCCGAGACATAAAAGTACGAATGTTGGCAACAATTTGCGAGTTGGTGTGAAGAAGGATTGCATGTAGTGAAGGTAGAGGCTTCCTTGGGCTTCTATTTTTGTGCAAGTAGGATCAGTTGTAGATGTTGGTGTGCTGTATGCCGTGGTTGCAGCAGCATACAAGTACACGAAAGTGGGACGGACTCTCAGCACTTACCAAATATGGCACCGGGCTGTGGTCAAGTAAGCACACGACGTCAAGTGTACCGCAAGGGATATGAAACAAAACACGATCGGTGCCCTCCCGACAGACAATGAAAGCACGGCAGTCTGGATAGGTAGAACTGCGAGCGACCGAAGTAAACGAGGCGACGAAAGCTCCAGAAACACCCTCTCGAGTGACTGTCTCACGTCATGATGCAACCCGCCATGCTCAAACACGAAGTCCAGCAGATGTCCCATCCATATCTGCTCCTGCCTAAGCTTGACCTACAAGGGGCGAGGTTTGGGCGGTGGGCGGGCGTACTGATACGTTTGCTCGACATTTCCACATAGTCATAGACCACGACATCGTTGGAGACAAGACAATACTTTTTGTTCCGTGGTCTACTAGAAATTCCGGCAAAGTCTACGTCCTCGTTAAGCAGATTAGTTTCCGAACGACATCATATGTGGTGAATTGCCAATTCGATGTTTCGACGGGGGTGACTTTCCTTGAGCTTTACCAGGAGATACCATGCCCCAAGCGACCACGTAAACTGCGGCGAAGACCAGAAACAGTTTCTGCCGACATTTTCGATCGACCCCCTCCGTTTCTGTGCAGGGGTGGCCCCTCAGATTTCCCGTGTGTTTGAAAATCCACAGTGGTTATGACGTTGTGGCTGCCGTTTGGGCACCCGGTTCGTCCGCTCTTCTTGCTCCCAGGCCAGCAATACGTGCTTCAAAGTAGGTCGTGATCACTCGTTTTCCTTTCGGTGTTGAGCACGTGAAACACGTGTGTGTTCTACCAACGTAGTTTATGTCCAGCTATCAACGCTAGTAGGCAAACCTGTTCTTCCGTTCGCATCGTTCGCAGGCACTCAATGGCCTCCACCATTTCCTCCGTGGACCTGGGCCTTTTGCCGAGTCTGAGGATAGCCGATCGAGCCTGCTTCGTCACACCACCTGCCCCATCAAACAGAAACGAACTAGAAGACTGGGCTGCTGATGCCCTTTTTGTTCATTCCACCATAAACAAGGGTTTGTGTTCGAACTTGTTGGTAGCATCTTCTCGCTGTGGTTGCACCTCGAGTTGTCCTTTTCGTCTGTGCTCGACACGCATGTTATTTGGTCATATCAACTTGTTATTTCTGCTTTTCGGCTGGACGATAAACGATATAGTCTACTTCAATCACTCTGTACGCCCCCGTAATTTCAATAGAGGGGCACCACTGAAGTTAAATGCGCGCACAACGTCGCCCTTGAACTCACTCAAACCTTCCAATAAACAGTCACATTCCACAGTTCCGTCACATGCAGTGCCACTTACTCGTTAGCTTGTTTAGTGTGGAAGTCACACGCTGAAGCACGCCCTTGCAAAGATCACCGGCGACCTGAAGCAGCTTCTCCGAAGTTTTTTGACAATCCACGACAACGATCCCCCCGGGGAGTTCCACCGGTGCGGCATCACCGCCAGTTCTTAACACCGCCGCCGTGCTTTTATATCTGTCAGCATGAGATGTAGCAGCAGCACACCAACCGAAGCACAAGGACAAGCATAAGCACAAGCAGAGATTGATCGTCAACAAGCTAGGAGAAGGCTAGTCCCGTAATGTCTTGGAGACGATACCTCGTGCGGTTGCTGTGATGCGTGCGTGAGCCAGATAGTTGGCGATGATAAGTTTCAGCCCACGCCACCAGACTGGGGCGATCCAGTAGAACATCCTCTCATGAGAACAATTGAACGTGAGAGAACGCCTGGCACCGGGATCTCCTCTCCATACCACCTTCGGCAGAATGACCTGCGTGGCCGCGCTCTGTTTCCGTGAAGAAAACGCTTGAACGTTAGAGGACCAAGAAATCGAGGTGGAAATTTGAGGAGCACCTGGGACATGCTGACAGCGCGTCTACAATATTGCCCTCTTCGGTTCCTGCTTCGAAGGGGGCTGGATGTCGACGAAAATACGCAGAAACAAGTAGAGCGCCACCAAACAAAACCACGACCACAATGGTTCGCCTACAAGGCTAGGAATACGAGGTCTGAGTTTCGTTTGAAGCGAAGCGCGGGAGGTCGGGGCTCTCTGTTCGGGTAGAAAAGATCTTCCGAAAGCTTCCGAGTTTCGGGAGATGCGGAAAGTGCTACCTTCTCAAGTCGGACGCCAGGCCCGACAGGTCCTTTTCCGAGACGCCAGCTGCCTCCACCGCTGTCTTGGGGGCAAGCGACACAGCGGCCTCTTGCAGCAGGCTCTCGAACGGTCGGAATATCCGGCAGGCAGCCCTGGCCTCAGATGATGCCTTCCTGTCCGCATTGAACCATAAAAACACAGTTGCGGCCGCATCGACACGTGCAGGAACAAGCAGTCGCGGACTGTCTAAGGGAGAGAGGGTTTGAGGGGGGCGTGTTTGGATGCATGGCCGCAGATATTATCGTGTTCACACTCCTGTCCATATAAGCCAATAAACGGTGTAGCACGACGGCCCCCCCCTGGCAAGGTGTGAAGAGGGAGTGATTGGGTGTCGGGCGAGGAATACGGGGGAGAGTGATGCGACCGCGTTGATCAGGCCATGCGCACGTTCGGTACGCACGTGTCAACAGAAAACATGAAAGTAGCACAGATTATAGGCTACCCCGCGCCGACGACCGCAGAGCTTCCGCGACAAGATGAGCAATATCAAACAGATGTGCCAGCACGTTTCGATCCAATGCATTTCTCCTCGGGCCACGCGCTGTCTGTGGTGTTTGTTGCCAACAAAGTAGTCCGTTTCGGCAGAATCAGAGCAACCAACAGGGGGTACAAGACTTCAGACGAGTTCTCTCGGGTAAAGATGCGATTTGATACACCCCGGACACATCAATGACAGTGCCCTGCGTACACACCAACGACATGTGCTTGGACAAACCTCAGTACAGCCAAAATTTCCTTGACGGCGTTCTCGACCATGGGCTCCGACGGGGACAGCACCGTCAACTTGGACGGTTCCCCTGTAGGATACCGTTATTGGCAGCAGCAGCAGCGGCAAATTTGAGACGGGAGAACCGAAACCAAAGGTTAAATTGGAGACTTTAAGGGGTCGGAGCATTCCAAATGCCGGAACAAGAGATCGCTGCTACGAATTTTACATTGTCCCTTACCCGGCTCGAGCAAAGCATTACCCGATCGAAAGGAAGGAAACGCGTGAGCGAGAGAGTAAGGTAGAGGGCGGTGCTGGTGGAAAACAGAGATGGAAACACAATAGCAACAAGTGTACGTGAGATTCGAGGTGGTGTGTGGAGGTGAAAGTTGTTCCAACTGGAGCTCATGAGGGCAGCGATGCCGTAAATGTATACCTCAAGTACCAGATTCCTTTCGTCGAGCGATATCGAATATATGGCGAGTCGAATATGATATGGCTTCAATCAAAGTCGCAGCCGAACAGTTCATGGAGAGGTGCAGATCATCAGGTTGGGAATATTGGACTTCGACAAAGGCAAAGGAAACTAATTGACAGTCATAGAGGGTCCAGCCGCAATATGGCGAAATGCCCCAACCGTCGTGGATCATGAACACCAACCTTTGGCGTACCCCCCAGAATGTTTCTGTGAGGCTGATGACTCGGACTGCAACGGAATGAGAAAGTGCAGGCTGCCACCGCTCTAAAAGGTACGCTGACAAGCAGACCTGCGCTGTCGATGGCCTCTGTCAACTTCCCGCCACCGCCGCTGTGTGATCCAGCACCTTTTTCCAGCGTGGAAAGCTTGATCGTTAATTCCCTCCGGAAACCTCTTAGCGGCCCCAAGGAATCGGCGTCCGAGTCAGTGCCCGACGAATCGTCGCCGCATTTCGAACTACTGTCTTCATCGCCGTCGTCGCTTGTGGGGTCACAAGATGACAGTCCGTCCGAGGGGCTAGAATCGGGCTCCGAGTATAGAGATATTCGCTTCGATGGAGCGTTCACTCCGATAGAAGACCTCGCGGATATGGTCGTCGACGTGTGTTTTCGTGTCTTGTTGTTGTTGGAGCCGTTCTCGAGGTTGATGGAATGGTCGGTATTCCCATCCGATGCACCAGAGGCAGGACCAAGGGTATCTCTTGCTCCAGCTACATTGCCAGCGGTGCCGGCGCCCGCAGCAGCACCCCCGCATGTGTCCGACTTCGCGACCGCGTTGGGGTTAGAGCGAGCAGAGGAAGCGGCATGTTCGCCTCGTGATCACAAGCTATACGATGTCGGCTAGCAAACGAATTCTTCGCATTAATGACAAGACGATGAGTAAGATGAATGTGATGGCACGTTGAACTGAATAGTTGATCAGTTGGGTTGTTTTCCGAAACTGCTTGGCAACTCCTTACTCGCGGCGCGTACCTCACAAACGGCGGCCCTCACCCCTGCCGGGGCTGATGGGTTCACGAGGTGGTACCCGCCAGACGCTTGGTCGCCGGCGGTTCTACAGTCGTAGACCACCCTCGGGACGTCGGCGAAGCACAGTACCACCTCTCGAATCACCTATTATAGTCAAGGTGCAATGGTTGTCCATGCGGAGTGAACGAATTCCGAGGACCATCGCAGTGCAATATTGAGATAGGGCGACACCGCAAACCTCACCCCCACCACCATCACCATCAGCAACAGGAACAGCAACACCAGCACCATCCACGCCACCACCTCTTGGCTGAGATTATGCGAGGAAAATTTGTCATTTTGGTTCTACGTTCAGTCGGACTCCTACACACGCAAACGCAACAAGATGATGAAAGGCTGTTAGGCATCGGTGGTTAGCTGCACTCAGGGTGGGCAGGAAGAACAAGTCGCGGCTTGTCGACTCTAGCTGTGCTGACATCGACGGCGGCACTTGACCCATTCAAAAACCATCCTCACCGCCGCGTCCGCCACTAGAATGGAACGACAACAGCAACCACAGATGACATCGATGACTACGCACATCCATGACCGCCTCCTTCAGGTCTCGCAGGGACTTCCTGCACGTCAATGTTGACCCCCGGTCCGAATTTGGCGACGAGCAACGGTCTTCCAGGAAAATCTGGGCAGGTACACATCCAAATGAGCCACAGCGATATTGACTTTAAAACACTTGAACAGTTCGGGTCCAAACAGGACAAGCAAGGCTCGTCTTTGACGCGGGTCCTGGAAATAAATGTCTTAGTTCTTCTAGCAATTAGGCAGGAAGACACGTGCTTGTGGTCTGCTGCGGTGCCACATCAGCGCGATCTGTAGCGTCGTCTCCTACTTGAATCCTCACGTACTTTGTGATGAATTCGCAGCCTTGCAGCTTGGCACTGAAGCTGCGTCTCTTGTTGCAATGCTATTGGGTGCATGTGCAACGTTTGGTTGCACAGGCGGTCTTCCACAGTCCAGCTCTAGACACTCTACACACGAGTTACACCGTATGCAACACGATCCCTGGATGAAAGCACAACCAGCAAATTTCTGTAAAACTATTTTCAGCAGATAATCAGTCCAGCGATACCTTGAAAATTGGCGGACAGTAACACGCCTCGCCCCTGCCGCGGTCGCCCCCGCCAGACCCCGCCAGGTATAGGAATGGTCGTTTCGACATAGAAGCATCAACCCCCGTGGCGTCGCTGCTGCAGTTTCTGTTGTTGTTCTCGTCTTTGCCATCGTTGTCGTCATCGTTGTTGTTGGCATGGACGGCAGCATGGATACGAAAGAAGGCCTGAAGGTCCGAGATGGCCGTCTCAACCATACCTCGGAGGATGCTGGCCGTCATTACGTTCACGGCCGCGAGATACCTGACGAAAGGTAGTCCAGAAATCACACGCGGGAAGGGGGCGCGTGCTTGACCCTTCACTTCACATAAGACACCACATCTCCCACCCATACCTCGTGACCACACATAGGTCGTTTCGCGTCAACCGAGAGCATGCCTGACTAGTGTCATGTTCGACATATATCGAAAACAAGTGCAACGCTTTGATGCCGCAGATTGAGGCCATCGCACATGGCAGTGCGAAACCTGCTCGCGCACGCTCTTTATGTCGCTCGTTCATGATGTGCACATCTACCACTAAGCTTTGACATGATACGGTCGAACTACATGTCTGAAGTGTAGTCAAGAGCATGTCCTTTGAACTCGACCGTGCGGCGTTGCGAGCCTTGTCGACATGTTCAGCCGACAACGCACCACAACGTCATTCACCTGACGCAACTCCGGGACCGTACCTTCGAACGTGCCCGTCCGGCGGTGAAGGCTTCGCGCGTGTTGCCAGCTCTGCAGATGTCGCTCTTGTTCCGTTCGAGCCGACGCCGAGCTGAGCCTTGAGGGCCTCCGACAAGCCCGGGTACAACAGCCGCCGAACCCGTCTGGCTTTTCTGCTGAGGTGACTCAGCTGCGATGAGCGGAACTCTTCCGCGGTCATTGCCGACCAGCTGTCACAATACCGACGGATTTGTTTTCATGTACCGAGGGGAAGCGAGGGTATATTCGTGCCGTTCACCAGCGACCGAGTGAAAGTTGACTTGTCATGTGGAGTTCGTTTGAGTGGACCTAAGAAGCACGGATGACGCGCGGAATAAGGATACGCTCAGGATCATGACAAATTGTCAGCCGTCACACAAGAGGTCAAGGTTTCGTTCCCCGAAAAGAGGGCAACGCCTGAACAAGAGACAAGGTCAACGGTTCTACAGTAGTTGTATTGACAGCGCTCACTTCGCCGAACAACTGACTTTCGTCCGTCTCGCGCCTGGACTGGGCGGGGCCTGTCCTGCACCATGGACTGGTGCACTCGAACGTTAGCTGTGTAGTGGGGAACGATGTTTATTATGAGTACCTACGGAGAGGATCAGCAACAGATTGCTCGTTTTCGACATTGTAATAACCGGTTGTTTTATGTACCAGTAGAAGATGATTACCTGGAAGCCTGGATTTCCGCGGCTGATTTCGGAAGCCTCAGCAGCCGAGTCCCGCGGCACGTGGCCAACAACGCCTGAGCGGCGACCAGCGCCGGGGACCCCGTGATCTGTCCCATGTTCAGGGCCTCCCTCGCCCGCACATAGCGCCTCCGCCATTCCGGAGGGCTCTTGTGGATACCCCTCCCTTTACCCCAGCCCCACCCTTCGCTAGCAAAGCCTGGAGGCACGGCTGGTATGCCTTTTTTGGATGGGGCAGGTACAAATTCGAGGAAGAGACGACAGCAATTATTGACACGCTGGCGGACGCTGAAGAAGGAACGGAAGGCGAAGATAGTAGGGTAGAAAAATCTAAGGTGTCGGACCCCCCTCCCCCCCCCCTCCTGTTCTTGAAAACGGGTTTGGTATTGGGTCCGCATCCGCTGGGGCGCGTACATACTTCGTCTACCTCATGGTTTGGTACTGGGCAAGACGAGGGTATATCAATCCGATCAAACCCCACACCAAGGAAAGAGCCGGACGTATCATACTCGCGCTCCTACCGCCGGCGCATTTCCTGTTCCGTCGAGAGAACGCATGCCGAAGTCAAACGCGACTAAGAATGTGACTGCAAGCCTGGAACGAGTAGCCAATGCCCCAAGACCAGCCGAACTCTCAAGAAAGCAAGGCCTTGTGTTCGTACCTAGGCGATCTCGTTGGCCCGCGTCTAAGAGGACGTAGTTCAGCACCGCCCTCCGGATGCTCGATCGGAATGATTCGCATGTCTCTTCCAGGCGAGCCTCCACTCCTGCCTTCCAGCCACCGGGAAGTTCCGGCATCCTGACCTCCCCCGGCCCCGGCCCAACCACTCCCCTCGGCGTTCGAGCCCTCAACCGTTTGGCGGTGTCCGCGGCACGGTTGACCCTGCTGCTGAAGACGGAAGCCCCGCCGCCAACGCCCCGTCCACCGCTGCTGTTTGTTGTCGGGCTTTGTGGGGGATGATCACGGCCGCTTGTCACGGCGAGGGGCGGGACTTTGTGCTGAGCAGTCTTGGCGAGGGGGGAAGGGCCCTCGACGTGAACCTCGAACAGATCTCCTTCCTCTCCCTCTTCTTCTTCTCCTTCTCCTTCTCCACCATCTTGGGCGTCCTTCGTGGGAACGTTCTCCGTTCCCGTTCCTTCTACCCCTTTGCCACCTGGCCTGCTGTACCTCCCACCCCCGATGCCCCAGACACCGGCACCAGCATTGTCGCTCTCCGAGCTAGTATCTTCCTCGTCGTTGCTTTTTTCTACGTCCCGTCCTCTGGATGTGCCGGTGTGACAGCCGCTCGTGTTGCAACCACCACAACCACCACCACCACCACCGCGCCCTGATAAGCCGTGTATCACTTTCCTGACGATGCCGGCCTGCCAAGGCGGCTGCAGCACCGTTACACTCTCCGCGAGCGTGGGGTCGCACTGGATATAGTGGTGATATCTGTGAGGATTCGGTAACGAACGTGGCACCCCGTGTGGGGGGTCAGTCTTCGAGATGTTCGCAAAGAGTTGACGCGGAACAGGTGCCATGGATAGTGGAGAGCAAGCTGGTGTTTTTGGCTCAGCCGCTCTCTTGCTGTAACATCATTTGCGTGATTGAACGCGAGGCGAACATGTTGTGTGTTGTGGTCTCGGGGGATTTTCCCATCTACGAACAGCACGTCTCCTGGGCTGGTCGCCAGTCCTCCGTTCCAAAATTGAAGCAACGATGCCAACGCTGAATAACACACTCACGCACACCAGCGATGTGTAACCGCACGCATACTAAACATACAGAGGATCCAATAACTCCTCGGCACCTTGCAAATCCAGCCTGTCGCCTCCCGGTGGCGTCAGAAACCTCCAACCCAGGGTTGGCCGCATGCACGGCACCAGCAACAGCCCAACCGCCGCCGTCGCCGTTCCCATCAGACCGCTGCCCCATCCACAACTCTACCCGCTCTCCTTCCATACTTCCGCAACCCTCTCCCGGACACGGTAGTCGGTCATCGTCTCGCTGGTCCGTCCCGTTGTCAAGACGTAGACGAATTTTGGACAGAACAGCCGGCGGTGACTGTCTGCGTTTGACGGGCGGCGATGGCGAACGGGGTGGATGAGCTACCTCGCACCCCGCCAGCGCCCCTTCCTGGCCCGCCCTTGGTGGACAGCTACGGTCCGACGCCTTTTCCCGCCCAGGTAACGATTCGGTCACCAACGGCCCAACCGTATTGTTGTTGCCCTCCGATGGTAGTTCCGGAGGCTGCACCCCCGCCCCTGCGGCTATCGCGTCCGGTGGCGAGGACGACATCAATGTTTCGCTTCGTCCTTCGTGGCCGTCGTTTCGACTGTCGTGGCTGCTGTCGTGCGGCCGTGACATGTCGCACGCTTTGCTTGAGCTCGGGACGCCTGGACCACAGCCACCGTCACCACCGCCAGCGTAGGCCGGTCGATTGTGGCACTCCGACTCCTTGTGAGGCGTGCGCAACCCCAGCTCATGCCCGTCCTTCTCACTCGAGCCTGTCCGGGTGACAACCTTGGCGTTGACGCCGTTCGGCCCGGCTTGAGACGCAGCACGCGTAATGCTGGACACAATTCCGTCGTAACCTTGTGCGTTTGCGCTGTCAGTGTAGCTGGATTTCCCCCTTGCCGCATCCCTTCTCGCCAATTTGGGGGTAGCGGGTAACAGAATCCTCGAACCTAAGCCTCCGCCTACGCCTCCGTTATCGCTTCCTCCGTCGTTACAAGTGAACCCGCCGGTGTTGGCGCTCTCTCGCCAAGCGAGACACCCGCGGCTGACATCGAGGTACAGGAGCTGCGCCGCCGGGCTGTAGTAGCTCCCCAGTCGCTCCACCCCTGTGGGCTCAAGCCACAATGCACGGTGGCCGGTTGGCCGAGTTCCGGGTTCGACGGCCGCTGCTCTGCTTCGTTTTCGTTCGGGCAAAATACTGTTCGCGATGCCGCGGTCCCCGTAGGGTGATGATGGTGACGGCGCCGTTGTTGCGGCAAGCAAGCGGGCCATGGGTGACGGCGAGGCCGAAAGGACGGACCCTCGGAGTCGGGCATGGACGTCCATAAGAGGCGGCGGAGGCGGGGATACGACCGTGGCAGCCGTGGCAGCGGCGCTGTCCCCTGTTGCCATTCCGACGGGCGTTCTTCCTCGATCCCGGAACCCCCTCAATGGCAGCGTTATCCTCCCGAGGCCGATCCTTGCTCTCACCGTGCTGCCGGTGATCTCACCCGCCGTGATTTTCGCCGCGCCCGTTGCGTCCTTCCCCAACAAACCACTCTTGCTACGAACATCGCCGTCGTTGCCGTCGCCTAGGAGTGCGAGGCTCCCGCTTACCCCTGTCCCCGCTGATGATGCTGATGACGCTCCGGGGTTCCACGCTCTCATTGCCGCGACCACGCCATTGTCGGTGGGCATGCCCTCTTCGCCCTCCACGCCGTCCGGGGGAAGGCATCGGTCGGCCTGGACTTCCCGCAGGGAGCGGAGGAGAGAGGTCGTCTCCCGAGCCCGAGCTTGCGCGAGCTGGACACCGGAGTCGGTTCCCATTTATTTACCGGGTGTACGGGAGGAGGGAAAGAGAGAAGCGCGGAAAGTGTGACGGGACGTACAAGGTGACTTTGGAGCGGGTCCGTGTGATACGCGGCAGGCTTATAGGAGACCGGCCACAGCCCGGCGTAATCTCGACGAAGAAAAACGTGATGCGGTACCTTTGGGCGCTCAGGAAATCATACTCCAGTGTGGTGACTGCTTCTCCTGGAGGTGGGTGTATTTCTTGTGTGCGCAAGATTGCCAGGGTATCGAGGTTGTATGAACTACAGAAATCCATTGCCGCTATCACTGTGTTTTCTGCCATTTGTGTGAAGGCGTCGAAGTACACCAGCAGAATATCTGCCACAGTACACCATGCGCGACGTCATCGAGACTACAAAGCAACTTTCCGCTTCAGCACAAGAATAAATCGTAGTCGTCTCGTTGGCGCGTTCCAAGCTGTTGGAGAACAGCGATAGGAAAGCAACTACCGCGGCCATACCACACCGACCTCCTTGTTCCCACGTGACGTGTACGGAATGTAGCACTTCCCGAACCCGTGGATTCCCCCGCGGTTTCTGTTGCTATAGCTGGTGCCCGTGCCTGACGCGCCGCCAGGAGCATTTTCTCCTGGTTGGGTGTTCTGGAGGGTGTGCCCCGGTTTCGGCTCTCGGTGAACCACCTCAAGGCTGTCTGCTCCCTGGGTGGGCAAACGCACGCACGCAAGGTGGGAATACGGGAGGGTTAGTCGCCGGCCATACCTGTACCTCTCCGGAGAGCCGAAATGTTTCGAACCTATTTGGTGATGGTCCTCGTGGAAGCCTCAATTGTTGTCGTCGATAAATCCTCCCGAGAAAACACGAGCTCCAATCACGTAGCAAAATGCGGCAGGGGGTCGGGTGACTTTCCCGGCCTGCCCTGCGGGTGTGCGGGGGAGAAGAGTACCTGAACGAAGGTGAACTTTGTCACCCTTCCTCGGGCGGCGAGAACGCCCACCCCGCAGTCCACCAACAGCGTCTTACCCAGCCCGGCTTCCTTTCCCACGGCACAAAGTAACCCCTCGAGGGCGTAGGATGCCCGAGCAGGCGGCAACCCCGCCCCCTTGCCGAGGGCTTCACGCGAGAACTCCACCTGTAACGAATGAGCGCAGCGGACGCGTTCTCTAGGTAACCAGTGCCACCGTGGTTCGAAGCTCTCAGTCAACATGCCAGCGTTTGCAGGCCGCCTATTTTTTTTAGCTGTTAGTGTTCCTCGTCACGGAGATGCATACATACACGTACATGGTCAAAAGATGTGGTTCCACGTCGGGAAAATGGCTCAATATTGGAAGCGTACGGCGGCTTCAACATGAACAATATCCTAACGAGAGCTTTCTCTTGTTGCCACGCTTGGTGGTGTCGTTCATCGCGAAGGAGGACAAAAAGTTCATGAGACCATCAAGCAGCAAACACCGCCGTGGTGCTCGGACTCGGACCTGTTTGGGCGCCCGCGGAGACAGCGAACTCTTGGAAGACAGGCTCTGTTCTTGGGAAATACCGTATCTGTGGTGGTCACGGTGCGGAGGAAGAGGAAGACACACATCGCCCAGTGGAGGCGCGACAGGAGGGAAATGAAGCCAGGAAGAAAGGATCAATGTCGCAATAGGAAGGACGACTGCCGGTATTATATTACCGTGTTTTCGACCCTCATTTCGGAGTTCGTTGAGCCCCCGTGCTTGAAGGCTTCCTTCCACCCACCTGGAAACGTCGTGCGATCGCGATCAGTTGTATTATATCTTCCACAAGTTACTCGGTGTCGGGGTTCTCAGATGCGTAGAATTTGCTCGAGGGTGGTGTGGAGCTTGGTCCATTCTTGTGAATGTCACAATCGTCAACCCATCTACGAATCGAAGCATCGATGAGTCGATCCAGACACCTGCATCCGCCCTTGAAGATCGAGCTGTAAGTAAGGCCAACCATATGCAGGAAATTTCGACCCATCTAGATCTACCCTGCTTACTGCTTCTTTTTCAACGTATGGTGGTCTTAGCCAAGGCACCAATCGATTGATCGTAGCTATCGTCGACCACCGGCCTACGAAGCATATTGCAGGGGGAATTTCGACGATGAAACAGCCTTGATTGACTGAAAGGTGGATGAATGAATTGATGGGTTGATCGTGTTTCCTCCGTATGGTTCAAAAGCCCAACGGTTGAGGGTGGTTTCGGCGAGACTTGGTGAACTATTAGTCAAGAGGAAAACGGTTGAACAAGGCACCATGTCTCAGACGTGCAAATAAGCTTCCCAACTAACACGCTTTGTCATGTGGACGATACAGGCGAACGGACGTGTGCCGTAGTGCTGATGTGAACGGCATAAGCTCACGCGAGTTTCTTCCCGCTCTGAAGTCAGCGAGGCCGTGACCATACTGCGGGTGGGAAATGCCAAACACCCACCCAGTTCATCGGACTCTTGCTCTCGGTTGATGGAGAAGTGTGCGTCAAATGCCCACCTGTTGAGGAAGCTTTCATCGAACTCCATTGTTGGAATACAGATGCCAAGGTTGAACACGCGGTAGCTCAAGGAAAAGAACCTTGGAACGCAAGCTCGGAGCTTGGCGGATACCGCGGAGCATAGCCAGTTTTTGAAAACCTGAAATTTCGTGTGATTTGTACCAACCGGGTGAGAGGGAAATTGAGTTGCTCCAGGTGTCGAGACCCATTTGATGCTCCGCGGAGTTAGACAACGGAACTGGGGGGGGGCTGAAGAGCACAACCAAAGACTACAAAGTAACAACCCCACGTTGGTGCGTGTCATCCGCTGTTCGTTGTGCGATGCGCCTGCGTGAGCTCAGTCGGTTGCCATATTTTGGTTGTCCAGGTGCAGCAATGGGTCTGCATTCAATGCTATCTACAATACTTGTATCAGCCTTTGCATTGGGTTGACCTCAACACTATAAAACTGTCACAAAAGCAACTGTTGGATAACCAACGGTGGGGCCCATTGCATTCAAGCAATTCTGTACCACACGCAACATCTACATTACATACTCGACCACATCAACATTGAACAACGGGACAACATGTTGCGACCACGACACGCCAACTCCAATATGGGGGGGGGGGGAAGGGACGACAGCATTGTGGGAGTTGTGTTTGTCTCCATTGTTTGATTCGATTCCTCCCTCTCTTGCCTGTTCCATGCTGGAAACGACAACTCAGCAGCTTCCATCCATCGAACTCTCGGCACACACGCACCTGCCACACACGGCGGTACTCGGCCTCCGATGTCAAGAAATCCATCGGCGCGCTCACTGCGGACGGCTCAATCAGGCTCCGGCCGCACTTGTATATGATCATTTCGATGGTCAGCACCCCCTCTCCTCCCCTACGGACGTCCCCCACATGACCACCATCACCGGGGCGGCTTGTGCGTCTTTTGTCTCTTCCCTCAATTTTTGCACCCTGCTGTTGTTGCCGTTGCTGCTGCTGTCGAAAGCTTGTCCTCCGTTGCCGCTTTCCTCGCCCGCTACTGCTCGGATACGTCGCGTTGTGTTTTTTCGTCGCGGGACGACTTGGCTTTCGCTGGTCGTGTTGTTGGGGATCATGGCGGTGCTGCTCGAGTACCTCCATCGCTGCCTGGCGTTTGCCAACGCGCTGTGTCACGAGCTTCTATCGTACTTCTTTAGAAGAGAGCACATCGATGCGCTACTACTTTTGGTGCCGTGGGCTCGAATCATGAAACCGAATACACATGTGTACGAAAATAATCTTTGGATCTTTATTCGATGGTATCTCCGTACACAAGCTGAAGGTGATCTCCGAAATCTCCGGCGGGGTACGCTGCTCGTTCTATCTGTTGAGCCCCCGTCGAAGCACCGGCCGCCACGTCCTGCGTCGCGCTTTTGCTGCATTGCCAAACCATGGTGTTGAATGGCATAGCTTGGCGAAGGTCGTATGCCGAGAAACAAGAAGAAAGCAACCATCAAGACTCTGTGGCGTTGCCGTTAGCTAGAACCGGGCGGAAAATGAGGAAACGCGGTAGGTCACATGGCGGCAGACACAGCAGTCTTGCGCTGTCACTAGCCGTCGGATTGCTGCGCTCTTCAACTTCACCCGCGCCGGCCTTCTCCTTCTTGATGCCCGGTGCCGTTTCTCCGAGTAGCAGCATGGGCCTAGGAGGTGGTAGTGCGATCGGGATGTCGTCTGGGCGGTCGTCTTTTGCTGCGTCATCATCTTGTGTCGTTGGAGCAGCTCAGTGGAGCATCCGCCGTCGTCGCAGCAGGACGGCAGGTGGGGCGGGCGGACCCCTAAGGATGGGCATCCCTAAGCTGTTCCGGTGGCTCACGGACCAGTACCCGGTGATAAGTCAACGGCTCGACCAGGGGCTCAACGAGGTAAGGCCGAGCTTTGTTATGGAGAGCTCGCTCCTGGTTTGTGCGCTTCAACTACTGTTCAGACGCGCGCGCCCTGCTGGAACATGATCCTGTCCCCAGAAGTTTGCTGGGAAGCTCACGGGCAACCGCCACCCGGCGCGCAACAGCAGTTGGCGGTCTAGCCAATCGCCCTAGGCGACTCCCCAAGCCAGTCGCCCTGTAGTCTTGTCGTGATGTATCATATTTTACTTTTCGGGAACATGATGACCATTTGCATATGACCGGACACCGGACACATCACCCACCGCGGCGCACACCTCAGTGGACGTACGTAAGCTCCGACGATCGACACGTGTTGAATCCATAGGGCCAAATGTTCTGGAAAAATAATCCGATTTGGAATCCAGAGGATATAGTTGTTAGTAAACCATAATCGACTTCGTAAGTCGCGAGGGAAGAGATTGCTGTACCCTTCTCGCGATTTAAATATCTCAGGCAGGAACCGCAGGAGGGGTCCAACCCCCCCCTCCTGCGTGACCCTGGTGGGGTCGTCTAGCTAGTAGAAGTGGAGGATAGGGGCCAGAGGGGCAGACGACAGAGTCCAATGATGGGAGAAAAAAAAAAACAGTACACAGAAATGGTTCACCACCCCTAAAAAAAGCACGAGTTCTGCGTACTGGATACAGTGGGTGGCCCGATATAGTGCCGGTTGCCGGTATAGTGCCGGTGTTTTCGGCTCGCACACACCGGAATATCAAGTCTTTCTGTACTCTGAATAGTGCCGGTGCCCGGTATAGTGCCGCTTTGCTCTCTGAACGCATACCGGCACTATAGAGGGCCCCCTACTGTAGCAACCAATCTGCACCAAGGCACTTCGTCACTTCGTCCTCGCCTCACAGACGACTCTGCTTGGTATCAATCCGTCAAGCATGTACACTCCGTGCTGCGAGCTTCTCGGATTCGAAAGCACGCTCTCCCTTTCCAATTTGGAGTTTCAACTAGTTCACCCTTTCCACGACCAACATTTCCAAGTTGGAATTCCTGCTGTACCAAGCGTGATGAACACACACTGCACCCCAGCTTCACAAACCTGCCTCGAAGAGGCTCACAGCATTGCACTGCTGTGCAGCCTCGAAGGTGTGATTGCAAACGGGTGTCTGTGAGGCGAGCACTAGTGCCACAAGCACGTTTGTGTGCTTTTCCGACGAAGTGCGCAGAACTCCTGCGGCCTCATGTGCGCATGGACGTAAAATCGGGATCCCAAATTTAAAAAAGATGCAAACACCTGGCGTAAGGTAGCTTGCATGACCGCCGCCTTGGCGGTTGGGTGATTCAGATGTTTTGCCTACATTCGGACTTGTGACGTCCAGCAGACCTTGCGTCATTGCGAACAGAGCTGTCTTGTATCAAGGGCAGGACTAGCTTGCCATCGCTTTCCCACCCGTTGGTTTTGTGTCTCATCTAACTGCCGTACATGTATGGGGCGAGAATCCATGTGAGAGAGCTGTTGTCCATCTCCCCAGAATTCCAGCAGCAAAAACCATGTCGCGGTGCCCGCATGGACACACCGGCCAGCAGCGGTCTCGGAAGGAGAGCTCCTACCGGTGGATGTTTTTGGAGTGAGCAAATGTCGACAACGCCAAACAAAGCTCGCTTCCAATCTCCACAGCACTATTGGCAATGGCATTTTTGAATTTGCACTACGGGAAATTCCTCTCTCGCCCTAGGTCTCCCGCGCGTGACCATGCGCAACCCGCCGTTTCTCGAGAGCGTTCCTGTCGCTTTTCCGGGGCATTATCTGTACCTGGCCCAGGCCTCTAGAAGCAAACCACTAACATTTTTGGGGAACACTCGTAATCGCCCCCCCTTTCGATAACAGAATGAGGGGAAACTGGAACACCTTTGGAGTATGTAGACCGGGTCGGGTCGGGGCGGACCCAAAATTTCTTTGAACCTGGAAATTTCCACTTGGCTGAAAGATTTTCGGCGTTTTACAATCGTCCTCGTATGTTACCGTCTGGTCGTCTCTTGGCGCACGGGCAATGCAGCACACCGCGCCGATCGACAACCTGTATCTGGACATGAACGGCGTCATCCACATGTGCACACACCACAACGATGACGAGTTCATCGAGCTCAACGAGAAGGAGATGTTCCGACGGATTTTCATCTTCACGGACCGCATGTTCAAGCTCGTCAGGCCTCGAAGGTATGTTACGTGGTCGGTGTACACGAGTACGCCCTTATGTTTGAGCCACGCCCCTGTCCTTTTTGCTTTTATTGTGTCTCTTGCTCCTGGTTTGTCTCTGCTATTGCACGCTCGCTTTGCAAGCGTATATCTCTTGCTCTTACGAGAGCGGAGAAGGACGAGGGTCTTTGCGCTGGTGGGTCGTGGTATTTTTTTCGCTCTACTCTTCCGATGTGATTTGTGCGCATCGCTTTGCTCGTATTCACCCCCCTCGATGCCCTCAGGCTAATCTTACTTGCACACAGAGACACCGATCGTTCTAGAGGTACGCGATCGAGAGCCAACGAGGTATTTGCATCACAAAGTATGTCATTACCCGCCCCCCTCCCCACCGCTCCCTTTTCCGTGTCTTTATCTCCTCGGCTATAAGGCTCTTGTATCTAGCTGTTGACGGCACGGCGCCCCGCGCCAAGATGAACCAGCAGAGATCCCGCCGGTAAGTAAGGATTGTATCGCGATGCACGGTGCAGTATACGCACGCCGTTGTTCGGAAAATGCACATGAATTCGCTGAAAGACGAACGCGTTCGACTTTGTTCTACAGTCGGAAGGTGTCTCGAGATGTTCTTAACAACGTGTTTGGATCTGTAGTCCGGCCAGCATTAGACTGTTGTGTGTGGAGAGCAGAGCATAGATGCGGCAGCACGTTGTAGTGGCTCTGTGGGCGAGAGCGAAAGCAGGTAGAGTGATTGATCGCAGGACGGCCACTTGAGCAACACAGCTTTGCCTAGCGGTTCTCGTGGCCGTGAAGCGGAGCATTACTACCCCGCTCGCTTGTGAGCGTGCAACAATGGAGACGAGCGGAGTGTTGAACACTGGCAAGGCACCCGCCGGCAGGAGAGCTGTAGCCATCACTTTCGCCTTCTGCACCTTGCCGGCGTTCTCGCTCGTTCACCAATGTGCTGCGGTGCTCCAACTGCTATATTGTGTTGTATTCGGACTAAACGTCGCTGACCTGCGTGTAGCCCGACACATACTGTTGTCCAAAATGCTCGTTTTCTCAAAGCGCATCGTGGTCGCTATTCCCGCATGCTCCTTCTGCTGCGAGTGGTATGTGTGTGCTTGCTTCGCGGCGCTACTTGAAAGAATTCTTCCTCCCCCCCATTCTCCGTCGCTACTGACTTACGTACTCCAATAATTGTCACTGTTGGTTGCTATGATAGGTTCCGATCGAGCAAGGAGGCCGAGGTGAACATGGCGGAGATGGTAATGAGGGATGGAAAACTGCCTGAAGTCACCAGGTACATCAGTACACACGGAATAGCTTGGTCTCATGATTGTTGCGACTAGGTCTGCGGTATTTTGCACGTCTTGCCAAGTTTGATGGTAGTTTTGCAGCCCTCCTTCCCGTAAATGTCAGTCTCTCGGTTCCACGGCCTTCAAAGTCCCGAGGCACCAGATTTTCGTCTCGAGCACAGACTTCGTTCGATGGCGACTTCAGTTTTCCTTCGAACTGACTCAACCGTAAACCTTGGGTGTTCTTTGGCCGTAGAAAGAAGAGTCTGGGTCGCGTCAATCCCTGTCCGACATCGTGGGTTTCATGTAACACCCCCGATGCATGGATACCGGGCACGTTTGCGGAACGCAGGTCACTGAAAAACAGCACGATTCGTGAACCGACCAACGCTTACAGCGCTGGTTATTAACCGTTCCGTTCGTACAAAAATCAGGTTTGACTCCAACTGCATCACCCCGGGCACGGACTTCATGTTCAAGCTCACCAAGGCCTTCCAGGCG